CTGCTGTCCTCCCTGTGGGAGGACCCCTGCCCATCCCAGGGGGCCTGGGACCCAGCCCCCTTTGCCCAGCCCAGCCCCGCGAGCTCCCCGCAGACCAGCCTCGAGCTGGCGCACAGGGTCAGTCTGCTCAACCGCAGGAACCAGGAGGGCTTCCCCGTCCTGCAGCTCAAGCCCGCCCTCCACTTCCAGGCCCCGACGCTGCACCCGTTCTCCTCGTTGGAATCCAAAGAGCAGGCGCTGCACAGGGTCCCGGAAGCCTAGCGCCCCGCCGGGCTGGGGGTGACCCGCCGGGCTGGGGGTGACGGGCAGACCGCCTGGGCCCAGAGGCCACACGAGGGACCCAGGAGCCCACCTGGCCGCTCGGACACATGCCTCAGACCTCACCGCCCAGCGCTGGTGCCGCCTCTGGCTGATGAGGGGACGGTGGTGCTCGGCTGGGGTTTCAAACCATTTGTACCAGAACCAGCCTGTGGCCCAGCCTCTGCGTCGCCTTCGCGCCCGGCCCCCCCGGGAGCAGCACTGTGAGCAGGGCCAGCCCCACCCACGCCCTCCCGTCCAGGCCCCTGGGTGGAGCCGTCTCAGAGACCACTGAGCCCACGTGGCTCCTCATCCTCTCATTTCCGCATGAGCCTTTCTCAGTATTTTTAAGACGAACCCTGGTTTCCACCCTCACAGGACGTAAGGGATGAGTTTGGAGGTGGGTGGGCGTGTCCTGGGGAGGGACGCCATTTTGCACACTCAGCTTTGTAATAAAAGCAGCTGCAACGAGCCCAGGTTGGCAGGCGTTCTCCTTGGGTTGGTGGCCTTGGTGCAGCTTGCAGTCCTCTTTGGGGCTGGGGTTGGCTGCTGGGACCCCACCCTCCGGCAGCCCCGAGGCATCTCCAGAGGAGGGCACCTGGGCCCAGGCAGGAAGCTCACCCTGCCGGCCTGTGACTGGACGAGTCCCTTCCCTCACCGCCCCCCAAGAGGCCAGAACCCCCCCTTTTCACTGACAACTGCCTGACCCAGCTGCCTCCCTGGGTTCTTGAACTCAGCAGGTGAAAACTGAGCGCCACCCTGACGCCCCCATCGGGGCTCCCTCCTCTTCCTCCACAAGCAGCGCCAGTCCCGGCCATTCTGCCCTCCAGCCTCTGTGAACTGGCTCACCTGCCCCTGTGGCCGCCCTTTCTCCCTCCGTCCCTGTCCAGGTTGTTCTCAGTGTGTGACTCTCACGCACCCCCCTCCCCCACTCCCCAGGAGGTCAGGGTGTCCACAGGCTCCTGTGGCCCCAGGAAATCCCGATCCCAGGCCGTGGCTCCTGCCTCCCAGCACCCTGAGCCCAGAACCCTGCACAGGCCACAGGCGGGGCCAGCACTGGGCAGACCAGACGGCTGAACTGGAAGGCGGGGGGCGGGGGGGGGGGGGCACATGCCAGGCCAAGCACATCACTGTCTGCCAGTTTTGGGGTGTCATGTGAGGCATTCTGGGTCCCCGGCAGCACAATTACAGCTCCCACTAAGCGCCCTACTAAGGCCTCTACACGCGGGCTTTACTTGCCGGTGCCCTGTGAGATGGTGCCACGACCTCCATTTTAGAGAAAGAGCCCCAGGCTCAGGGCCTCGGAAACCCCTAAGGACACACACACCCGGTGAGGCGCCTACACCGGGTCCCAGGCCCACCCCCCGCAGCCTGCGCGGTGCGTGCGCCCGGCCGCAGAGCTTTGGAAGCGAAAGTCACAGCTTTTGTCACGTGAGGGGCGGAGGGCGTGGCATGACTGACCGTCTCTCGGGCAGGAGCCAGCAGGGCCCGGGCGAGTGGCCTGCAGGCCCGGCTGCCTAGTGTCGCCGCCCCAGCGGTCAAGGGGCCTGTCCTGAGCCAGAGGTGAGACCCAACCGCCAGCCAGTACGCGCCCTGCTGTGGACGTCGTCTCTGGAGAAGCCAGAGGCCTCGGAGGACAGCCCTGGGGACGCTGCTAGGCAAGTGCCTGCTGCTCCCTGCCTCAGTTTCCCCACCCAGACATGGGGCGGCAGAAGAGCTTCGTTTGGCAGCTGGTTTCTCAGGGTGACACGTGGCCGTGCGGAGCATTCTGCTGAGCAGCCCCTGGTGAGACCGCAGGGCCAGAGCCCTGGGCATGGCAGCTCTCAGAAAGGATCCATCCCCTCGACTTGCCAGCACTGCCCACAGGCAGAGCTAGGAGACACCCTGAAAGAACCCAGTGCAGTAGCCGTTTACACGTGAGGATGACGTGTGTAAAGGGAGACCCAACAGGACAACGGGCGGCGTCCGCAGCAGTAAGAGCACCAGGACCAGAACCCACGTGTCCTGGTGACCAGCCTGCTCCGCGCTCAGCCCTCTAGGGCCCGGGACCTGCCTGTCACCGCGGCACCAGGGGAGGAGGCCAAGCTGGGGAAGTGCGGACACAGAAAGGCAGCGCCAGCTTCCCTCCCAATAAGCCCCCCTCGATCACTGCCCCGTGCGCTCATGACAGCCAGAGGACGGAGTCCTGCAGAAGCTGGAAGACGGGGTGGGGTGGAGGGCGGGGGGCAGAGGAAAGGCCCTGCTCCCCAGACCTGGAGGCCAGGCAGGTTCCACACCTGCTCCCTGGCTGCCTCCTGGTCGGGCACCGCTCAGCCAGTCCCTTCGTCCGGAAAGTCGGGGCGATGACACACGCTTTGGGGACCGCTGCAGCAGAGGACGTGACGCACCCAGTAGGTCACCATCAGGAACACTGGCCCGAAGTTGTGGTTTGTGTTCTAGTTCTACCACCTGCTTTGGGATGGAGGCTGGTTTCTCACGGGTTCCTACCCCTTCCACCTCCGACGTACTTTAAACAGGATGACCTTATAAGCCAAGGATTATCAGCAACTCCTCTTCTTTTGGGTTTCCCACAAAGTATTTTTTAAAACCTTGGCAGCTACCAGGTTGTGGCAGGACTTCACCGGAGCGGCTTTCTAGAAGGTTCTCAGGCAAGTCGCCTTGAGCGAGCCAGACCTCTGTTATTGTCCGGTCCTCTGGGTTCCCGGCCTCTCAGCACAAACAGCCCTTCTGCGGGGAGTGCGCCGAGGCCGCCAGCCCTCCCTCCCAGGAAGAGAAAGAGAAAGAGCACTTACAGCTGGGGTTCCACGCCCAGCACACGCTCCGAGCCTGGGGGGAAGGGCCCCCCTCCGCCAGCCTCGCCCACAGCTCGGGACCATTTCTGGCCTCACGGGACCCATTCTGTAGCCAAGAGCTTTCAGCCAAACCCATCAGGCACAAGCCACAGGGCTCCTGCCACAGCCTCCCAGCCTCTTCCCCTGCCTCCCACCCTGCACATTCCCCCCTTAGGTCCTCCTGGGTCAGGGCGTGGGCCTTCCTCCCGCTGCAGGAGGGAGGCACGCAGCTCTTCGAGGAGCGCTAACTCTGCCTCGTTAACAGAGGCTGAAATACCAGAGACATTTACCGTCTAAAATGTCTCACAGCCAGTGATCATGAC